TCATCAGGCTTGAAGGCCACTAGTTGATGGACAGATTACAGGACACTCACTCTGGGCCTCAATTTGCTCCTCTGTAGAATGGCATTATGTTCATTCCTTTGGGTGTAAGTAGATAATACAATTCAAAAGCTTCTTTGAACGACTGCATAATACAATGTATTGTCAGTATTTCCATTTCAAAAAGTAGCTTCATTTGCAAAAAGATTCCTCACTGAATTTTTAATTATCCCTCCAATAGCACAGTTAAAATTCTACTGTAATCCTCAGCTGTCAACAGCTTTTCACAGCCCTCCTAGTAAACCAGGTGCACTTATAATCTTGCTATTTTGACCAAGTTGTTTGTTTTTCAAGTAAAAAAGCCACAGAAGTCCTGGGAACACTTCTGCTGGCTTCATTGTCCCCACCTCCCACCACCGCTCCACCCTCTACCACCCACACTCCTCCAGCCGCCTCCACTCCCTTCAATGACATGTTTCCAAAGGGCTGTGAAGGCGCCCCAAGCAGAGCCACACAGGCATGCTGGCTGGCCTTCAGGGGTTCCCATCCTGAATTCTGGAGTTCCCAGAACCCCACTCCCACCCCAAGATCTGGTTAAACTCCCCAAACCCGACTGGAGCAACTTGCCAGACTGAGGCCCTGGGAACCTGTGCGCAGGACGGAAACCACCAGCATAGGGAGGGGCCGTGGCCAAGGAGTGAGTGCTCATTGACTTTAAATTGCAGGCTGCTGTGGGTCCTAGGGGAAGAGCCTGGGAAGATGCGGAGTGAGTGTCTGCATGGGCAAGGCCCTGGCCACAGAGACTGGGACTTGGGACCTGGTTACCAGCTCCAGAGGCCTGAGTCACGGGGGACGTGACACTCACCCCCTGCTGCTGGGAGTTCAGTCATCTCCCTTTCAGGGTCACTTGGCAGAGTTTCCATGTTGCACACTGTGTCTGTTAGGAGTGCTTTCCCCAGAAGACACATGTAAATGCACAGACTCGAATGGTTAACAGTGCCCTCTGGAGTTGTGCAAAGGGACATCCGTACTCCCACCAACACAGGAATATAAACTTCCAAAGTATTTTGAAGAGAGTGACTGCTCCTTTGGGATGAGATGTTGTAGAATGACAGAGGTGGTGAGGGCACAGCATTGTGGACACACTAAATGCCGGCGACTTGTGCACTTTAAAAAGTTCCATTTTATGTGTGAATTTCATCCCAATAAAAAAAATTTTTTAAGTCTTTTTAAGGCACTCGAAAGGAAAGTACAAATTGCTTTAAAAGATTTCCCACAAGTCAGCCCTCTCTGACAATGTGTGCTTTTCCCACAATGCACCTCTCTCCCCAGCTTCCTGGGGTTGCCGACTGTACTCCGACTGAAAGAATTAGGTTACCTTGGAAGCCCCACTGCTAGACCTGAGCGAAGGAAGAAGGAAAATATTGATACATCAAACACTTTTGGCAGCACTTGTCAGAAATGGGATAGAAAGGTAGCATGGAGTTCTTCTGAAGGCCTGCGCCAAAGTCCATCAGATCCTGAGAATCCAGATGTAGGCCTGCAGTTCTCAGAAAATCCACCTTCTTGCTTTATCCATTAATTCATTTATTCATCCAAGGAATATTCACTGAGCCTCTACTATGTGCTTTACCCTGAAAGTTGAGTAGAACAGGGATTTCCCTGGTGGTCCAAGTGGCTAAGGCTCTGCTCTCCCATACAGGGGGATACAGGTTAGATCCCTGTTCAGGAAACTAAGATCCTGCGTGGCCAAAAAAAAGAAAAGAGAGGGAAGACCACTACCTTTAAGAAGCTCATAGTCCAGTGAGAAAACTAAAGTGGAAACAGTTATTAACAGAGATGTGCATGATGTGCAAGGTGCCCCCGAGGAGGGGCACCTACGGGATGGTGAATTGGATTCACCAGCTGGGGAGGTCTTCCTGGAGGACGGGATGCCAGAGCTGGTCTCAAAATCTGCTGGTGGAAACAAGTCCAGGCAAGCCTGACCAGCAGCCAGCCTAGGCCTGAGAGGGACAGAAGCACGGTTCATAGGAGAGTTGAAGGCTCTGAAGAGGTCTGGCTCAGAGGCTAGGAGATGTAGCTGTCTCCTTCCTGCAAGCACCACCTTTTGGGGTCCCCCCTCATCCCATCTGTTTCAGTATGTGAGATGGTAACAATGTCTTTCCAGCCACTGCCTGGGGAAGGGATCCTGCCCTTCACCTCACAGGATGAACCAAGACCCTTCAACCAGGCCCCTCAGAGGGGTTGTTAAGAAACTCCCCTTTAGATCCAAAGGTTCTCCTAACAGACAACAGTATGGGTGAAGAATGTCAGTGGAGAAGCCATCTTGCCCTCCACCCTCATCCCCCAGCAGCTAGGCCCCCTACCAGGTGGTCTTTTACCCTATAGCCTACTCTCTCCTACTATGGGAAAAACCTTCAAGGTTAAGACTGCCTGTCCTTTTTTCGTCACTTTTTGAAAACAATGAGACAACATTAATGGATTTTTTTTTTTAAGAAACAAAATTATCCAGGGCTCATTTAACATAACGTTTTCCAATTATAAAAAGCTGTTGTTTTTTTTTTTAAAGTTGTTTTATTAACAGAATGAGATAGTGAGTGAAAAAAGGTGCTTGGCACACAGTATAAGGCTCCACAGCACACTACTTCCATGATGGCTATTTGTTGAATGAATGAATGATTTCCTAGTAAACTGACCTTTCCAAAATAACTCTGGATTCTTTTGCTTGCAAACCTCTATTTTTCGTAGATTATTGTTCCACATTTTTCTGAATGTTTTTTTCATGCAGGGGATGGGGGAGAGAGAAGAAAACCACGCTGTCTCTTGTTGTCTCCCCAGTCCAGTCAGCCTGGGAGGAGAGAATGGTCTTGACAGATCAATTCCCTGATCTTCACTCTGAGTGACAGAAAGATACACCCATACAGGTCACCCCAACTCTTTTCTTCTCACTTTAGTAAAGGGTAATTTCAAGAGGATGTCATCTACCCTCAGTCTCCCAAGCACTTCACCCAACTGCCACAACCTGGTGTCTTTAAGGCTCCCAGCAAGTTACTGGAGCTAGGAGAATTGGAAGAAAGGGCCAGTGTTCAGGCTTCGAAAGCCCTGGCAGTCAAGAGACTATTCTATTTTGTAGCAGTCTTTAAGGTATCTCCTAATCTCAGTCATCTGATTTATTTTTTATCCATGAATTTGTCTCCAGAGATGGTTCTCTCATCTGCTGAAAGCGGATGGGGTGCAAGGTTTGAATTCTGATCGTTTACAGTTTTAAGTCTTGGTTTGCCCGGAAGACCCAAGGGGCAGTCTTTTTTTTTTTTTCTTTTTTTTTTAATGGGAGCCGGGTGTGTGGATGGCGGCGGCCTGACTCCTCCAGTGGCAAGTGTCTTTGGTCACGCACAAGTCTGCCGGGAAGCGAGGCCCGCCAGTCTGATCTGGTTAGGCTCTGGCCCGCCCTGGCACGGGAGCGTCTGATGTAAGTTTGGTTTTCTCTTCCATCAGGATTCTGTGTCTCAGATTGATAAATCTCTTAAGTAAAGGTTGAATCTGTCCGAACCTCTTCCCACCGTCAGCAATCTCAGTTAGTCTTCTATATTACCGCCGTCGGGTCACATTTTCTGTGGCACCGCCTGAATGACGAAACAGGGGATGGCGATTGCTCTCCGGGGCTTTTCTGGAGATCTAGGTCCTCGGTCCTGATGCAACTCTCCAGGTCTTTTACACAAAGCGTTTTGGCAGAGACGGGCACTAGGACCCAGCAGACGCTTTGGGTTCTCTCGCCGCAGAAGACTGGAGAGACAGCCGCACCGCGGTCGGTCCATAGGGCAGGCGGCTGGGTCTGTGTGTCTCTATGATATGAGAGTCAGTTCCCAGCTCGAAAACCAAGCGCTAGGAATCCGGGCCCATCAATACTGCTTTAACCACATTTCCCAAACCCTCTTCTTGTAGGCAGCTGGAGGGAGCGGACACTGTTTGGGGACCAGGCTCACATTCCGGGCACGGACCCTGGCCCCCGCATTAATCCACCCCCTGGGGCTGTAGAGTAATAGGCGGGCGGGAAGGTGAGGCGGCCGGGAAGAGGGAGAACGGTGCCCGGAGCAGCCCACTCTTTGGACCCCACCCCCAGTCCTTTCGTAAGGCAAGGTTAGCGTGGGGTACGTGTGCGAGAGCCGGCTGGATTAACGTCTGCTCCCCGCGCCGCCGTCCCACGAGTATCCAGCCGTGCACCCAATTGTGCCCATAGCTCGCAGGCTCTCAGACGCTGGGTGCAACGGTTTTCCCCTCCTGTTGCCCCCTCAAGTTCCCCTGCCTCCTCCCCCGCGCGGCTGCGGCCTGCCCCCTCCATCAGAAATACGACCGTATAATAAACAAGTCTTTCCTTGATCCTCCCCTGCCGCGAGCGCCCTCGGGGACCTTGGCAGCTGCAGCCGCCACAGATCCCTTCCAGAAAGGGGGCGTGGCCGAGGCTAGGGGGTTCGTCCCCGAGCGTTCTGGGGCTCAACGGGGGCGGGGCCAGGCGGCTGTCACTGGGCAGGAGAGAACGTTGCGAACGTGCGCCTGAAGCTCATTGGCCGAGGTGGGCCACACTCCCGGGTCTGGATTGGGCCGCCGCACGGAAGGGGTGTGGCCTCTCTGCACTAGCTCTTATAGGTCTCTCGGCGTTGGTGCTAGGGACCGCGGCAGGCCTAGGGGGAGGTGCGGGTGGGGAGAAGGGACAGGTCTGGGCAGAGCTCGGGGCTTGGCACCAGTTCGCGCACTCATTCAAGCGGCAGTACGCACTTGTCCCAGCAGTTCTCGCTGACCGCAGTAACTGGTGAGTGTCCCTTCTGTGTATGCTGATCGCTGAGCCGAGAGGCCTCGGCCCGTCGGGGGCGGGGGGGGGTGTCTTAGCGCTCTGTCTTATCCAGCCCCCAGACTGACGCCCAATAAGAACCGCTTTTCTCTTACAGCGTCTGTTGAGCTCCCGCACCCTGAGCTCATCTGCAGACGCCCTGGCGTCCATCCTCACCATGCCTAGCCTTTGGGATCGCTTCTCGTCGTCGTCTTCGTCCTCGTCCTTGTCCCGAACTCCCACCCCAAATCAGCCGCCGCGCTCAGCGTGGGGGTCGGCGGCCCGAGAAGAAGGACTCGGCCGCTGCGCGAGCCTGGAGAGCTCGGACTGCGAATCCCTGGACAGCAGCAACAGTGGCTTTGGGCCGGAGGAAGGTAAGCTGTAGGCGGGAGCCGGACGGGAGTAGAAGGGCTGAGGAGATGAAGAAACACGGCGCTAGGAGTCAAAAGCCCACCTAGATTTCCTATCCCATCAGAATCCGGATTGCAGAAGGGGCAGGCAGAGGAGAGGAATTGAGGTTTAGGGTACTCTCGTGGGGCAGAAACTGAGGCACGGAGTGGGAAGAAGTGCTGGTTTCTTAGCGAAACAGCACTTCCCCCGTTTGGAGGTGCTCTTACCTAATCCTCCCGTATTGCTTTCCCTTGCAGACTCTGCATACCTGGATGGGGTGTCCCTGCCCGACTTCGAGCTGCTCAGCGATCCCGAGGATGAGCACCTGTGTGCCAGCCTGATGCAGCTGCTGCAGGAGAGCCTGGCCCAGGCCCGACTGGGCTCGCGGCGCCCTGCGCGCCTGCTGATGCCGGGTCAGCTGGTGAGCCAGGTGGGCAAAGAACTACTGCGCCTGGCCTACAGCGAGCCGTGCGGCCTGCGAGGGGCGCTGCTGGACGTCTGCGTAGAGCAGGGCAAGAGCTGCCACAACGTGGGGCAACTGGCCCTCGACCCCAGCCTGGTGCCCACCTTCCAGCTGACCCTCGTGCTGCGCCTGGACTCACGCCTGTGGCCCAAGATCCAGGGGTTGTTTAGCTCCGCCAACTCCCCCTTCGTCCCTGGCTTCAGCCAGTCCCTGACGCTGAGCACTGGTTTCAGAGTAATCAAGAAGAAACTGTACAGCTCGGAGCAACTTCTCATCGAGGAGTGTTGAACTTGGGCCTGGGGGGCCAGTAATACCCCCATATCAGAGACAGTTTTGAACTTTTGGGGTTGGGGGCAGGCAGAGGCTGAGGGACTGGTGCCTGCCCTTAGAAAACTGACAGCAGCCACCTGAGGGGCAGGAAAGTCAAGGTGGGAGGAACACAGTGTTTCCCTAGGAATCTCACTGAGATGTGAGCTGGTGGTTTCCAGTTGGAGGCACACGCTGCCCCTCAGTACTGTAGCATGAAACAAAGGCTTAGGGGCCAACCAGGCTTCTGACTGGATGTGTATGTAGCATGTACCCGATTATTTTTATTGTTACTGACAGTTAAGACAACAGTGGTGTGACAGAGCCAGGAGAGCAGCTGGGCTGCCCTGGCCTCTGCAAGGGATGTGTGTTTCACCATAGCTGGCCCTGGTGGGAGGGGGGAGGTCATCGAGGTGATTTGTGTATCCCGTGGTCTGAAGGGCCCAAATGTTTGGTTCTTTGTTTTTGTTTTTTGATCATAGCTTCACTACTGACCTGTTCTAGGCAGCTATCTTACAGACACATGAATGTAAGAGTAGGAAGGGGTGGGTGTTAGGATCACTTGGGGATCTTTGACACTTGAAGAACAAATACACCTAGGAGCTGTGTGTGGCCCATCCCTGGATGTGTACTAAAGGGTTGAGCTGTGAGGGGATGGGGCTGATTGGGGTGGGGGCTGGAACCTCTCCCCCAGAGGAGTACCATCTGGATCTTCCATCTAGAACTGTTTACATGAAGATACTCGCTGTTCATGAATACACTTGATGTTCAAGTATTAAGACCTATGCAATGTTTTTTACTTTTCTAATAAAAAAAGTTTGTTAAAACAGTTGTCTCTCATTAGTGCCATGAAATCGAAGGGAGGGGGATGGGTGCTGTAGAAGGTGGGTTTCATCAGACTCTGGTGCAGCTCTGTGTTTCTCTGTCCCTTTCTGAGACCCCCTGCCCGCATGGTAATGGAGGTGTGTAGGCTGAGCGCCCTCTGTGTCAAGAACCCTGGCTTCCTTGGCTTTGCTGGCTGAGGCTACCAAGGAAAAGCCCTGGAAGCTGAGGAGGGAGTCAGACCTCTCATAGAGTCTCAGTAGAAAGAACTCACCTGATTGCCTTGGGTTAGAAGGGCCTGGGACAAACGACTACTGAGCCCAAGGTTCTTCCAGGCACTTAAAGGACTGCAAGAGACATTTTTTGTGTGTGAAAAAAGGCACAGTTCTATTTGTTCTACAGTCATGAAAATTACACATTTTCTCTCTAGACAAGAAAAGGCTAGGGAGCAGGAGCACTAAGGAATGGAATTTGAAAAAGACTTATTTACTTTGTTCAAGCCTCTGACTAGACAAGGAACTTAGGGCTCAGAGAGGGGCAAGACCTGCCAGGCAGAAACAACACACACAACACACGCAGGAGGTGTGGTGAGGGCTTCGGGAGCCAGGGGACTGCAGGACATTCCAGGAATGTTCCTGGTGACCTGGACTCATTACGCTCTGGGCCCCAATTTCCTTATCAGTGAAATTGGGGTTGGGCCAGATGAAGGCCGGGGGCCTTCCCACTCCTCCCTCCCAGCGACTCTCAATCCTCCTACACCAGCCTCTGGAGGGTTGTTATCGCCCTTGTTTCTCTTCCTTGTCTGAGACAGGCCTTGTTTGCCCAACTGTGAAACAGTAGTTCTTCCACTGGATTGTAGAGTCAAATCTGTTGGGGCCTGAGTTAAACACAGACCGCCCCCTGCCCTGGTGGAGATTCTGATTGCATGTGTCTGGGGCAGGGCCTCAGGAATCTGCATTTTCATTCAGGATCCTGACACGGTCTTGAACTTTGGGATGGTCTAGAAGTCTCTAGTGGAATGAAATGACTTGTTCCCCAAGATGAATGAAGTGGTTAGAACTAGATTTGAAAATGGTGGTAAAAAGTAAGAAGGTGCCCAGAGCAGTTTTAAGAGAGCCCTTACTTCTTGGCACATCTTCCTGATAGCCACCCTGGGAGGGGTGGGTGGGGTGAGGGTTAGTAAAGTTTTACAGATTAGTAAACAGTTTTATAGATGTCTATTTGACATCCAAGTGGAGTAGGTGATTGGATATATGCATCTGGAGCTGGGGGGAGGTCCAGGCTGGAGCAGAAACGTTTACTAACAGAGGCCTAACCCCTAAATGACCATCTTCCTCGGACCTTGGCTGTCCTTGCCCACTCAGCCCCTCAGGGTGGAGCTGAAAGTAAAGCAGGCTTAGCTTAGCACTTGGGTGGTGTCTGGGGGCACTCTCCCAGGAACTGAGATCAGAGGCAATGCTCGAGACTGTGCTTCCCTCGGCCCCAACGAGGAAAACAATCAGGTCTAGAGAGTTTTATTGGTGTTTGGAGGCAAGAGAGGGATAGAGTGGTAAGCATTAACCCTCTCCTAGACCAGGAAGCAGCAAGAGCCCTCAGTTCATTCTTTCTCTTAGATGGAAGACCAGAGGAAAGCTTGCATTCCCAAGAAGGTTCAGCTAAGATGCTCTTTCCTGTGGCCAGACTGCCTTTCTTCATCCTCATGGTGTTGAAAGTCCTCCCAAATAGGACAGAAAGACCCCCCAGGTTGGGGCTCTTAGACCTCCTAAGAGGCCTAAGGGAGCTTTGTCCTAGGTATTGGGCTGTTGAAGAGAAGAAGCAGGTTTCTTTGTTGCCAAGATTGAAAGCTAATAAAGCTTATGAAACTTCCACATAAAATCCAACTTTGAAAAAGGCTTTCTGAAATCATTCTGTTTGGCCTATACAATTTGTATTGACTCCCTTGATATATCTGGAGGCAGGAAGGCCATGAGTGTGGCCTGAAAGGATAGGTACTAGTCCAGGCATGGGAACCCTGAGCTGAGATGCTGGGCAAGTCATTTCCCACCTCCCTCTGGACCTCAATTTTCAGGGTTTATGAATTTTCAGTAGTTAGACTGACACTCAGACCTTCCTGAATTAATGAAAGACTGCAGTTTCCACCTGGAAAAGGTATAACTGGAGTCCACCACTGGCAGAGGAAGTCAGTGGCTGGGCAAGAGATCAGGGGCCTGAGCTGTGGCAGAGCAGACACCCTGTGATAGAAACCACCTTTGACTCGCTTCCCCTCTGATCTGACTTTCCTCTAATGCTCAAAAGTCATCTTAAAAACAGTCATGTCAATATATAACCTTACTAAGTTCTTGTAAAAAACATCATATTGGGCTAATGTGCTCAGATAGCATCACTTCTAAGCTGTATTTTTCTAAGCCTAGTGCATATTAAGCACCCTTTACATAAGGTTCCTTTAATTCTGCCTCATGTTTCAGAAGGAAATTCAAAGGCTCAGAGAGGCTCAGTCAGCAGGGGTAAGAAGGGAAAAGTGTCTCCTACCTCCTGGGCCTTTGGCTCAATTCACAGAACCCTCCCGGTTACCCAGCTCAGGTGTCTCGGTCAGCCTCATCCTGCTTTTGCTGCTGGGGCAGCAAGCTGAGGAAACATGAGGCATAGAAACCAGGCCCAATTAATAGATTATTACAGGACTCTATAATTATCCTGAAAGGGGGGTCTTTATGAAGGAATCACAAATTAGAAAATAGCCCATTAAACCCAGACACATCCATGCAGGGGCCCAGCTGGGCAGTCTCTATCTCAGTCCCAACAGTGGGCAGCTGCATGAAAGTATCTGTGGCCAAGCGGTACTGATAGCTCCAGAGGGCAGACACTGGTAGGTAGATGGTCACTTGATTACTGCATTCATTTATTCAACTTACATATAATTAAATGGGGTCGTGGACCTACAAGACAAAGCCAAAGTAAGTGGGAACCCTTAAAAAGCTGATGTTAAAGTCAAAATTCTCTCTCTCATACACACAGCCTCCCACATAATCACACACATACATTTACAAACAAAACTGTGAGGCAAAGAAAAATGAGAGAGAGAAATTGGGTATATATTCAATTTCCCCTATCCCTAACTTCCCAGGAAAAAAAACTAACAATCAAGAAGGATTAAAAGTATATCTATAAAAAAAAAGTATATATATATAAGATAAAACTAATTAAACTGTATGCTTAAAATGGTGAATTTTATTGAATGTAAATTATACCATAATATCTGAATTTTTTTAAAAGAATTATGTATACACAAAAATTAACTCAAAGTAGATCACAGACCTAAATGGAAGAACTAAACTATAAAATTCTTGGAAGAATATATAGAAGTAAATCTACGTGATCTTGGATTAGGCAATGACTTCTTAGATATGACACCAAAAATACAAGTTTTAAAAGAGAGGATCAACAAGTTAGACTTTATAAAAGTTTTAAATATTTGTGCTTCAAAGGACACAATCAAGAAAGTAGAAAGACAACCCACAAACTGGGAGAAAATATTTTGCAAATCCTATACATGATAAGTAATTTTCATCTAGAATATATAAAGAACTCATGCAACCTAATTAAAAGATCTGAATATCCCTTTCTTCAAAGAAGATATATGAATGCCCTATAAGCATTTATGAAAAAAAAAGTGTTTCAACTATTGATCATTGCTGCTGCTGCTGCTGCTAAGTCACGTCAGTCGTGTCCAACTCTGTGTGACCCCATAGACGGCGGGAAGTGTAAATTAGCTCTTCAATAGGATACTGTTTCATACCACCAGAATGGCTATAATCAAAGATGCAGGCAATACCAAGTATTGGCAAGGATGTGGGAAAACTGGAACCCTCATACATTGCTGGAGGGTTTGTAAAATGGTACAGTCATTTTGGAAGAGTTTGGTAGTGCCTCATAATGTTAAACATATAGTTACCATATGACACAGCAATTCCACTTCTAAGATATACCCGAGAAATGAAAATGTATGTCCACACAAAAGCATATGTATGAATCTTCATAGCAGCATTACTCATAATATCAAAGTAGAAACAAACTAAATGTCCATCTATGTGAATGGATAAATAAAACATGGTATATCCATACAGTGGAAATATTATTTGTCAATTAAAAAAATGAAGTACTAA